GAGAAGGACGGCATATCGATGAAGTGGAGGGGCAGAGAAAAAGAGGGTGGCCATCAACACAGTGGGCAGACCCCCAGTGGCTGCAACGTGAGAACAATGGTGAGGCTGGCACAGGACTGGGCAGGGGTCTGTTGTACTCCGGGGGCACTATGAGTTGGAGCCGACTGGGCAGCAGCTAACAACAACGTCACCCCTGTTGAGATGAGTAGAAGGCAAAAACAGGATTCAAGCTTCTTTGCAACCAGATGCCAACTACGGTCCATTTCCCGTATGAGCATCAGCACAAGGAAACGCTAGGTGGCGCAGCACCCACACATTAACAGTAGCTGCAGCCCTCTGGTTCCATTCTCATGGGTCTGTGTTCCATGCACCTCCTAAGGCCAGTAACATGGGTGGGGCTGTACTGACATCCCTGGATAGCCTACCTCGTCCCCAGCCTGTATATTCCCTAAGCCTGAGCTCCAGGTGCTGGGCAGGGTACAGGGCAGGCGTGGTCCTACCCTCATGGAGTGCACGCTATAGAGAGAAGAAGGCGAAGTCTGCCTTTCTGAATCTCTCTCTGTCCTTGTGCTCATAGAGAACAGGTGTAGGCTAGTAATGGGCATTTGGAACCTGCTCTTCCCTCATGGCCAGCCTACGTCTGAGCTGCAGGCCCTCATTATAGCCCAAGTCAGATCAGGGCCAGAGAGCAAAGCGGGGGACTGGAGAGGGAGGGGTACTCTGTATCTCAGAGAGGTAGGCTGCAAGGGTGGAGAGAAAAGGGAAGCAGAGAGCAGCCCCCTGGATTTGTTTCGCTAGTCTACCTGGACTAACACAGCTGCACTAGAGTCTGCGATAGCGAGAGCAGCTGTGGGTTTGTGTCAGGGTCTGTTCCCACATCTGCCAGCAGCCTGCACACAGCAGTCTGACTCCACGCCCTGCCTTTGTGGACCAAACTCCCACCCATGGTTGGGGCAGGTCCCTGGTCAGAGCCAGACGGCCGCACACCCAGGAGCTCCGGAAGACTCTCAGGTGGGAAGAAGGGCAGAACTTACCTTCCTCCTGCCAGACACAGGCCTTGGCTAGCATGGCCACCGGCGGCTGGGTCTCTCTGTGCTTGTGCCCAATGGGGTTATGTGGGGTTCCTGGAGTAGTGGGGGTAGGCTCACCTTTGCAGGACCTCCCGTTGGCCCTCATGGCATAGCCCTGCTCTGGGCATGCACACTGGTAGCTCCCTGGCACGTTGACGCAGCGGAACGTGCAGAGGATGCTGGCGCCCTGTGCACACTCATCGATATCTACCGAAAAGAAGAATGGCATGTGGGGAGCCCCAGGCACCGGTAGTTGGCCTCCCCCCAACCTCCCCTGCAGCCACAGAACTGAGGTCCCCTTCACAGGTGAGGGCGTTGGTGGAGGAGGGGCAGAGGCACCCACAGTCACAGTCACACAGGACTCCTTTCCAGGGCTCACCCTTGGGGCTGCTCTGCCACTGCCGCTATCGCTACCAGCTGAGGGGCAGCAGGGGCTGGCGGGGGGCTGAGCACCCACCCTCTGTACTCCTGAAGGTACCCACTTTACAGAGGAGGAGCCTGAGGCTCTGAGTGGGGAAGCAATGTGCCCAAGTCCCACAGGCAGGGAACAGCGTGCAGGGAGGGGCACACACTTAGGGTCAGGGACACGGTGGGATGGAGAGGAGTGGTACCTGTGCAGGTGTGCCCGTCCTCTGCCAGCTGGTAGCCCTGGCGGCAGTAGCACTGGTAGGAGCCATAGATGTTGGCGCATTCCTGGCTGCACCGCTGCGACTCACACTCGTTCACATCTGCAGGAGAGCAGCCATCAGGGCGGCACGGTGCCCTTCCAGCCCCTGCCCACCTTGGATGAAGGTGGAGCCCCACAGGTTCCCTTAAGCCTGGCCTTGGGAGGCCGCCTTTCCGGTCTCTCCGCAGGACAGAGGAGGAAGAAGGAAGGGCAAGGGGCCTTTGCCCAGGGCATGCAATGGAGTGGGGGCAGAGAGGGGCTTGTGCTGGGTTCCGTGAAGGGATGGCTGAGGAGGAGGAAGGCCAAAGGTTGGGCTCAGACTCCCCCCACCCTGCCATGGGAACCCTACAAGAGTCCACAGTACTTGGCACTGATGTTTCTGGGAGGAGGTGAGGATTTCCTGGAGAGCTGGGCTCGCCGGGCACTGTGTGGGCACAAGCGTGAGCACCCGAGCACGGGCGGGCTGAGGGTGCGCACTAGAGAGTGTGGGAGTGAGAACCCACCCGGGCCTCGGGGGAACACCCCTGGGACACTGAGCTGGTTGCAAGCAGGGACTTGTCCTTGTACTCATTCAGGAGAGCACTGCTCAGCCTGGGGACACAGCTGTGGACAGGAGGGTGCCAGAGCACTGCTCAGCCTGGGGACACAGCTGTGGACAGGAGGGTGCCAGAGGGCACCCTCCTGGGGAGCTACCATGCGTGTGGGTGGAGGGTGGAGCTGGGTCAACACAGGGAACGGTGTGAGGTGGCGGCGCGGATGCGCGGAGAAACAAAGCAAAGGAGAGGCGGGGTGCATGTGGTGGTTGCAGGTGCTGGAAGGACCAGCCCCTCCTCAGGAAGGAGGACACCTACTAAGGAGATGGCGCTACAGGCAGGGGCCCTTGGGTGGGAGCGTGCAGGTGTGTCAGAACCCAGGGGAGAGAGAAGGTGGGACGGGTCATGCAGGGCCTGGTCAGCCACTGCTAGGCCCGTGAGTCAATCCACAGGATCTGGCAGGACTCAGAACATTCACGAACTATCATGAACGGATGGATGCATGGCTGCCTCTCTAAAGCGCAGCCAGTGCAAGGGCCGAATGCACGACTCCGTCTGTGACTACACAGACACGCAGCCACGGCTCCCAGCCCCACGGCTCCCAGCCCGTGGCTGCACTTGGTGGTGCTCACGCATGGGCATGACATGAAGACACGAATGAGGGAGGGGGTGATCGTGGACCGTGGCAAAACCACGCCTGGCCACGGTCTCCTGCTCTTGGGCTGGGCCTGACCCCTGGGCTCGCCTGCACACAGGTACACCGCACAGGGACAGGTGGCCTCCCCAGGGGTCTGGGGGATTCCCTGCACCTGGGGGCAGTAAGGAAAGACTGGGACGGGGCTGGGAGAGACAGCACCAGGTCCATGGGGCCCTTAGCTCACAGCCTGCTCCTTCCTTGGCCAGCCTTGGGACGGCCCCCTGGCTAAACGGCTCAGGGGACATGTAGGGACACCTCTCCAGGTGATCCCCTTCCATCGGCCCTGGGTCCAACCTGACATGGATGAGATCACCATGATGGTTAGCTCTGGGGTCAGGAGTCTCGCAATCAGGATGCAGCCTACGCACGTCCCCACAGTGAGGTGGCTTCTTGTATTCCCGTAAGAGATGCTATGGGACACTGACCTGTCCCTCTCAGTCCTTCTTCCCGTTTGCCTGGATCTGTGTCTGCTCTGGGGGCTGGTGACCCACATGGCCTGCTGACCCCAGGAGCTCTCGGCCCCCTGCCCTCTTCCTGCCAACCTTGGACCCCTGCAACACTGCACCCAGGGCGACAGATCCTGTGCCTGCCCAGCTTTCCGCACCGCCTTCCTGCTCATGACTGACAACTGCATGGCTGAGGCTTCTGGCCCATGGGCTAGAGTGGGACAGGGCTAAGCTGCTTCCTTGATAAGAGTTTTGCTTGAGAGAAAGTTCTATCTTCTGCATATGGAAGTGCCCACAGTTTCCTTTCTCTAGAAAGCCCAGGCTATAAGAGCCCAGTAAAAAGATTTTTAAAAAAGGAAAGTCCAGGATAACACAACAACGATCTCAAATGCCGGTCGATGGGCAGGTGGGTGGAACCTGTGAGCACCCTTGGCGTAGCCCATGGTGTATATATATTAAAGTTTGTCAGCCGTAGTGTTAACTCCAGACTTTGCATAACCATCTAGGTTTGGGGTCTAGCTGAAAGACCACAGATTGGCACTGGACCTGCATCAGAGCAGAACTGTCTGTCCCTGGCCTCTCCAGCTGGCCTGTCTCTGGGCCTTAATACACCCCGCCAGCCTCGGTCGGGATCCTGGGGTGTTGCCGCCTGGGGCTGGCCTAGAAACTGGAGCTCAGCCGCCATGCCTGCAGCAAGGAGGCCCCCCCGAGGGGTGCTGAAGACACGGAGGCCCCTGGCCCACTGTGGGAGAGCGACCTGACTCTCTTGCGCCAGTGGGGGTTGCCGAAGGGGAGAAGGGAGGATGGGGCCAGGCCTGCAGGTGGAACCGGGTTGCTCGGGGTCGGGCGAGGGCCGGTGGGCAGTACCTTCACAGTGCTTGCCGTCGGCGGCCAGCAGGAAGCCGGAAGCGCAGGAGCAGCGGTAGGAGCCGAGCGTGTTCTCACAGGTGTGCTGGCACACGCGGCCCGGGGAGGCCCAGCACTCGTTCACGTCTGCGGGCGGGCAAGTGTACTGTATTAGGGATCCCCCCACCCCCACCCGAGGGACCTCCCCAGGTTTTAGGGGGGGGCAGCTGGGGAAAAGGGAGAGAGTCCCAGAAGGAAAGGGCGAGAGGTAGGAGAGGTGGAAAGACCGAGAGGGAGAATGACAGAGTGGGACAGACGAGAGAAACAGAACAGCCGCTGGCCTGGGTGAAGAAGGGGCTGTCACGGCTGTGAGGCGATCAAGGCCAGAGATGGGCATGGGGGTGGCATGGGCAGGGGGGTACTACTCAGCCCAGAGGTGATGGGGAGCAGTGGATGTGGCCAGGCTCCCCGACCCCCGTACCCACGCAGGCCCGGCCGAAGGCATCCCGCTGGAAGCCTGCTTTGCAGTTGCAGCGGTAGGAGCCGGGCAGGTTGTAGCACACTTGGGTCTCGCTGCACTGGTGCACGCCTGCCTCACATTCGTTCACATCTGCAAGGAAGGCAGGCAGGCTCACGGGGGCACAGTGTCTCCCAAGCAGGCCACAGCGGGGCAGGAGGGGGAGCCAGCCTTACCCACACACTTGGCACCATCCTCGCTGGCGTGGTAGCCGCGCCCACAGAGCAGGGGATTCCTCTGGCAGATGTAGGAGCCCACTGTGTTAATGCAGCTGAAGCCCGGCTGGCAGGGCTCAGGCAGTGACGTGCACTCGTTGATGTCTGCAAGGGTGGGCCCAGGTGGTCACGGTCAGGCTGTGCCACCCTGCCTCCTCCTGCGATGGGAGGATGCCCATGGGCGTCTCACCTCTGCCCCATGCCATGCTAGCGTGACATCATCACTGAGGTCCTGGGCGCTTACCACCACACAGTATGCCGCCGGCCCTTCTCCAAAAGCAGTCTGTGCCGCCCAGGATTGAATCCAAACACCGCACCTCATGTACAGTGCCCCACCGGCCTATGCCACCATCTCCCACCCTCCCCTCCACATGAGGGGCTACTGTGAGGGCACTGCTGCCCACTTTGCCCACGGCTGCCACTGCTGGATCCTACTCACCCCGGAGCCAGGCCAGCAGGGGCCAAGCTTCCAGGGAGGGCCAGGGCCTCCTGGCTCCTGACCCCCAGCTGTTTGGAAGAAGCTGAGGCAGGGGCCTGAAATCGGAGACACACTTGGGGACCACAACGGGGCCAGCCTATGTCAATGCGCACAGCTCAGCCACTCATGGGGGTGGGGGCACGAAGCCAATCTAGCAGTTCTGGATGGGCAGTCGGGAAAAGAGCAACTCCCAGCCCGGACCGCATGCAGTCGGGGCGGAGCGCTGCCTGGTAAACTTTGGGTTCTAGTCAGGTGGGTAACCCGGTCATGGCAGAGAAGACTGTTCTGCTGGTTGGGGTGGTTAAAAAGTAGGAAACACACTCACCAAATCTAGGGGTGAAACCGGGCCCCCCACCCCCAGAGAAAGAAGAGCCCCAAGAGAGGCTTCACATCTCCCTCCCTGCTCCCCTCCTGGCATGGAGTGACGGTCAGACCCGCACACCCACTGCATGGATGGGCGCCAAGGGTCCTCACAGGGCTCCCCAGCAGCCTCACTCACCCACACAGTTGCCCTCGGGGTCCTGCAGGAAGCCCTGCATGCAGCGCTCTCGAGTCTGGCAGTAGAAGTGGCCCTTGGTGTTCTGGCACGTGAAGCCCGCCTGGCAGTTGTGCGTGCCCAGGGCACACTCATCCACATCTGCGAGGAGGCCAATGTTAGGGGGTCCTCAGCCCGACACCCAGCTTGTTCCCACCCGCCCCAGGGCCAACCTCGGGCCGCCGGGGTGACGGGGGTCTTCTGCGCCAGAGAAGCAAGGGGAGCCCCATCGTCTAGGGCGGCGCACATCCCGGCAGTTTATAAGCACACCTGCTGACCTGTTTTGTTTCCTGAATCCTCTCAAACCTCTAGAAGTAGGCAGCCTGACCTGGCCCACCTGACCAAGGGGGAAACGGAGGCAGGAGAGGGCGTCTGGGTGGGATGAGGGGCGCAGCAGCCTGGCCCAGGGCCGGTGAGGGTCAGAGCACATGCTTGAACCACCGAGGCCCGGGGTCAGCCACCCTCGGGCGGCCGTGTGGGCGGTCAGGCCTGGGAGCTTCTGATGGCAGAGCGGCCGGCGCAGGGATGAGATCGTAGCTCTCACGCCTGTGGTGGCCTCGTGCTGAGCCTTCACCAGACTCTCCGGCCCTCAGGGTGGCTGCTCACGCCTGTGCCGTCTACAGTTGACAGAGCACGGAGCCCACGCCGCCCCTCGGGGGGTCCCACAGCAGTGGTCACTCCGACAGAGGAGGAGACCAAGGTGCGGAGCAGGAGAGGGGCACAGAGAGCAAAAGGCCCAGCTAGGATTTCCTCAGCCTGGATTCCTCCAAGACCAATGCCTGCTGGCACCCCCTGTCCGTCCGCCTCCCCCGTCTGTCTGAGCCTTCCTCTCCCAGTTCCCAAGGCTTTGGCCATGTTCCCAGAGTCCAGGCCTCTCTCAGGGCCGGCACTGGCTTCCAGGCCCCCAGACGTGAACCAGGGAGGCAGTGGGCTGGGGCACTCAGTGCTTTCCCAGGTGTGGGTCAGGAAGGCAACCTGGTTCACAGGGCCAGCACTCACCTGCCTCCCAGGTCACTCCCAGTCCCCAGCCTGACCTTAAAGCCACGCTGTAGGACGTGCACCCGCAACCACCTGCGCTCAGAACCCCCGAGGACTTCTGCAAGCCCGGTCTCCTCGCCGGCATTCCTCGGGGCTTTCCTGGACCAAAAGGGCCCTGTCCCCCGACGGTGGAGGGTAAAATAAGCCCTGGCCTGCCAACGAGAGACTGTCTTTCTGACTGTGACCTGCCCCAGGGCCTCTGTGCCTCTGCTCTTTCGGCCTGCAGCCCCTTCCCAGAGGTCTTCTCAACGCTCAGGGGCCTCTCTAACAGCACCTCCACCTGGGGCCTTTCCACCACCACCCAGCCGGGGCCCAAGCTCCACTCAACCCCCACGCCGTGTGCTTGGCTATACCCCATCTGGGCTTTCTCACCACTTCCCGGACACCTCCACCCATGCAGTCTCCCCGGCCGAGTGATAGCATCTCCCCAAGAACGGAGCAGGTGCCCCCCAGCACGTCAGAGTGGAGGGAGGGGGCCCCCAGCCAAGCCTCTCACCCGTACACTCGCCGTCCACGAGGGCGTAGCCCGGCTCGCAGGTGAGGGCCTTGTAGCAGCGGAAGGAGCCGAGGGTGTTGACGCAGTGCTCGCCCCTGCTGCACGTGTGCAGGGCAGTCACGCACTCGTTGATGTCTGCGGGGAGGGGGGCGATCAGGGGCGCTGCAGGCTCGGAGGAGGACAGAGAGCCAGCGGGCCTTGCTGGCCAGGTCCTCCCCATCTGGAGAGGCACACATGGATCTGCCCATCCGTCCATTCATTCAACAAAGATTTATTGAGCACCTGCAAGGTGCCAAGCGCAGCTGTCCTTGGCACCAGGGATGCCGCGTCGACAAGACGGACGGGAAGCCCTGCCCTTGTGGCACTGGCATCCAGAGCAGGGGACACGGTCCACAGACAGACACAGAAACACGCGACGTGGGAGGCAGTGTGGCAGACCCAGGCAGGGCCAGAGAAATGAGACGGGCTGAGTTGGGGGTACAGGGTGATCAGGGAGGGCTCAGATGAGATGGCAGTAGATCAAGGATTTGGAAAGTGGGCCTGGAGTGTGTTCGGAGCAGAGAGAATGGCCAGGGCCCTAAGGGGGAGCCTGCCTGCACACTGGAGGCATAGAGGGAGCAGGTAAGGGAGGAGAATCTGAGAGGGAATTTAGTCTTCAACCCTGAGGGCAGGAGAGCCAGGGGAGGGGCCAGTAAGGAGGGGTGTGGCCTGAGGTCTCCTACCAGGGTCTTAGCTACACCCCAGAGCCGTCTCCAGGGGTGCAGGGAGGGAGGCCAGTGAGGAGGACTTGCGTCCTCCCAGACCTTCAGCTAAGACAGACCCTCCTGCAATACCCTGAATGTGGAATGTGCTTCACTGATGAAGGGGAGGGGGGTGAGGTCTCCCCAGGAACAGCAGGTCAGGGGTCATCCTCTGCCAGGCTCTGGGAGCTGGTGTGCAGGGCAGATAGGAGCCCCTGTGGCCACCTGAGCTTGCTGGGAGGAGGCCGGAGACACACCCCTGAGTCCCAGACGCTCTGACAAGAGAGATTCATGTTCGGTCAGCATCTGGGTGGTAAACACGGGCAGAGGGGGTGCAGATACGAGGCCCAGCACTGATTCTGGGGACAACCGGGAACAAGGCTTTAGGGAGGGAAGGCGTGAGAGAAGGGGCAGAGGACAGAAATTCACCCTCTCCCCGCTTGGCCCCCCAACCCCCACAGAAAGGCAGAGGGCTCTGGGGGGGGTGTCGTTGCTGCCAGGAGTTGGGGTGGGCAGGACTGGAGTGCCGTGGCCTGAGGGAGGCTGCACTTACTGCACTGGGTGAGGGGAAAGTCAGGGGAAGAAATTGTGATGATGACTATGCACGCATGGTAAACGGGCCGATTCAGTTAAAACAGCCGTAAAAACCACCAGAAAAACAAGGAACGCCTCTCCCCGCGTGGGACGCCGGGTCCGCCCGGCAGCCGCCTCCTGGGAGCACCAGCAGGCAGGGGTGCACATCATCCATTCACCGATTCCCTCTCTCCCTCAGGCTCAAGCGGAGGCCAGCCAAGGGGTGCTGGGAGTCAAAGACACTGCCCCTAGGGGCGCAGGGCAGAGCCATATAATCAGGGTCCTGGACTGTCAGAGCCTCGCTGGACCAGACAGAGAGGGAGGGGCATGAGACCCTTCCAGACATGTAAGTAAACCAAACAGTGAGCCAGCGATGGAGAAGTCTGGTGTGGACACTGGGTGACCAGGGGGTGATATCCCCAGGTCCCAGGAATATGGTGGGAGGAAGCACAGGGGAGAGGGGCTCAGGAGGGGGCGCAGCTCTTACCGATGATGAAACCAGCTCTCCCGGAGCCAGCCTGTGGCCAGGGGAGGAATGGCCAGGCTACCTGACCCAGGGCCCTCAAGGGGGCTGTCCTTTTCGCCATCACCCAGACACTGCTGAACCTCGTAGGCCAGCACACCTGTACCGTCTCCAGCCAGGTGCCCTGGCCTCCAAGAGCAGGACATAAAAAGCACATGGCAAAGCCTGGGGGCCCACAGCAGCCACCATACGTCCACTCAGGGACCTTGATTCTGTCCCACTCAACGCTGACGCCCTGTAGCCACACACCTCCTGGGATGGGGCTCCCTCCCTCCTTCCCTCTGCAAGCTGATTCTGTATCACACATCGGATGAATCATCTGAATGATACCAAACAGGAGCTGGTAGTTCCCATGGATTCATTCGTTTTAGCTTACATTTACTTCAACAAATCTAGGGGAGCGCTGTTACCATCTCATTGCAAACACAGAGGCTCAGAGGGGTTAACTGACTTGATCAGGTCTTTTATCGACTAGTGAGCGACCAAGCCAAGGCGTTCAACAGCCCACTGGCCCTCCCTCCTGCCACCTGGGCGTTATAGGTGTGGGCGATGCACACCTGACCCTGACCCGCAGACACCGACAGACCCTTGCAGGTGAGGACGTGATGGAGGGGATAAACGATGACAAGGAAGTATGTGAGTACGTGGAGCAGAGCCGCTGCAGATGTGGGCAGAACAGGAAAGGGAGGACAGCAAGGACGAGACCGAAGGCCAATAAATTTTGCTGAATGGAATGTACCTTTGCTCTGTGATGCCCAAACCCACTTAGCAACCACCCGGGACCCCTTCCCTCTGGGACATCTGGACAGAGGGGCCCTGCAGAGCGCCCCTCCGGTGCAACAACAAGGAAGCGCACAGTGGGCCATGGTGCCCATGTCCTGGGCAGTGGACCAGACTCTGAACGGGCCTGGTCCAAGCAGGAAGAGGCCGCCCAGCCCCACAAGCTGACCAGAAATGTGCATGTTGTGCCGTGGCTGGAGGTCAGGGCAAACATGTGAGAAGCCAGTGCTGTGGGCCATCTGCCCGGTCGCACAGGGTGAGCAGGGGACACGTTCAGGCTGGATGATAATCTACAAGCACAGAGAAGACTGACTGACACCCAACACCCCCACCCCCAGTCCCCACCAGTGGCCTGGCCCCATTCTGTAAGGCTATCCCACCTCCACACCCAGTTTGGGCTGTTCCTCCACCCCATGCCCTTCCCTTCTGCTCGAGCTTGCCCACGCTTGGAGGCAGGTGCACATGCCACCTACTTCAGGAGGCACTGTTGCAGTGCATCGCTAGAATGGCTCTCCTTTTGCCTGTATCTCTGCTGCAGCGTTGACGCCAGCCTGCCCTGCACCCCTGCTGCTCTGTTCTTTCCCCATGGGGTTGGGGGAGACAGTGTTTACATGTTCCCCGTAAACATCAGGCTTGCCCAGTCCACACCCCTATGGCCCACAGCCCGCCAGCCACAGGCTTCAAGAGACAGGTATGAGCCCCACCTAGTCCTGGGGCCCGATGCCTCGCCGGCAGCAGCATCACCCCCAAACCCACTGCAGTCAAGTCAATGCTGACCCACGGAGACCCTCGCAGAGAACAGACTAGCACTGCTTCACGGGGTCTCTGAAACGGAACCTTCAAGGGAGCAGCAGCCTCATCTGGGCCTGGACCCTGTGGTTAGCTGCCCATCACTCAGCCCACTGTCCTCCCAGAGCCCCTGCACCCTAGATGAGAGCAGAGGAGACAGCGGAGGCTCAAAGAGGAATGCCAACCTCTCAAAGTCAACAGCCAGGACTGTCCCGGCGTCTGTCCCCTCCCCTGCCCACCCTGGGTGCATCTAAGGATGAGAACACTGCACACAGGCTGCATGACCTCAGTACCAAGTGGGGGGCTGTCACCTCTGCTGGCAGAGGAAGAGGTCATTTGCCCGAAGCCGCAGAGCTACTGAGAAACGGGATCCTGTTTAAGGCCCCAAGACTCACACGAATTCCCTTGCTGCCCAACTCACCCGACCCTCTCATTACTGCAGCCCGGACGGCAGGGGCAAGGGCCCAGCCAGGCCACGCAGCCGCTAAGTTATCTGACTCCACACACGTCCCTGGGGGAAGCAGCCTCCAGGAGGGGACAAGCAGGACAGGACACCAGGACACGGAGGACGTGACACGCAGTGCAGGGTGCCAGCTGTGCTGAGCTCACATGCAAAGGGCCGGGCCCTTTGGCATGTGGCTTCAGAGTGGCGATGGCTTGCATGGTGCAGGGCAGAGAGCCATGGCGGTCGGTGGGCGGCAAGCAGGGGCTCTCGCTTACCCACGCACTTCCTGTGCGCATTGAGGATAAAGCCCTCGGCACAGAGCACTGTGTGGTTGACACAGTAGAAGGATCCCAGGGTGTTCACACAAAACTGCCACCGGTTACAACCGTGAGCACCTAGCAGGCACTCGTCTTGGTCTAGTGTCGGCCGCGGAAGGAAAAACAGAAGGACTGTTAGAGGACGCGGCCTGCCAGCGAGCAGGGAAGCCGAGGCCTGGAGCAGGGCAGGGCTCTGCCAGGGCTGCCCAGCCCACCGCCGCTGGAGTTTGGACCCCGGTCTGACCGTGAAGAGGCCAGAGAGCTCAGTGCCGGAACCCACGGCTCAGGCTGGGTGAGGAGGAGTGCAGAGGAGAGGGGCCTGCCCACGGCCACAGACCAGAGTCGGGCCCACCAGCCTCTGCACACAGCCTACCTCCACCGGCAGCGGGGCGCAGGGTCACACCTGCAGACACAAGTGATTTGGGAGTGTGGGGGTGTGTGTGTGGGGGGGGGCGGGGTGTCAGGCTAGCCTCAGGAAGGGGGAAGGGGCTCTAGGAGCAGCTGCGGGGCCTCGACTCTGCCCAAAAGGAAAAGAGGAGCCCGGGGCTCTGCAACGTGATCTTGCAACGTTTCTAAAGGAATCTGGACTTTTAAAAGAAGAGTAAAAAGACCAGAACTGTGCTTGAGCTTCTCACAGTGGGTAGGCAGAGCGCAGCAGGGCTCCTTTGTAGCGAGACAGCACCGTCCGAATGCCGACTGGCAGGGACGCTGCCACTTTCTCACAAGGATCCCCACCAGGAGGAAGCAGAGGCCGGGGGAGGCTTAAGTCCAGGCCAGCCCGCCACCAGGAGGAGCAGAGGGCAGCCAGGCCTGGTCCAGGCCCACTCCCGTCCTGGGTCTCGTGAGATGAACTCAGGTGCAGGGTCACCTTCTACCCCCAGGCCACCTCAAGAGAAAGGGCAGCCCTGTGGCACCCTGCTGGGTGGCCTGGGTAGGAGTCCCACGACCTCTGGGCACAGGGAGGGGGTTCATCCCTCTCATAATGATAGTCTCAGTCAAGCAACTGGTGCAGAATGTTGCCGCCCGGTAGGAGGTGGGCGGTTTTGCAGACAGACTTACAATGGGGCCCTATGCCCTGGACTTGCTGTAAGTCGTCCTTGGGTCCCCTGTGCCTGCCAGATCCCAGTTGGGAGGAGTAAAACCCTCGTAGCCTGGTTCTGAAGGGGCCATTCTCTGTGGGTTCCAGCCCGAGGGCCCACCAAGATGAAACCCAGACTCCTGCCCCAGCTCCCAGGTAGGTCCGTAGGTGCCACGGGGTCTCTTCAGAGCCCTGACATGGTGGTAGCAGCTCATGGTGCCAATCCTCCTCTTCCTCCCCAAAGTACTGAGGGGCACATGCCACCCTCCCACCTGCAGCCAGGGCAGGGGCAGGTGACGGGCACCCCAGGGTCCTGACCTGGCAACAATGGAGTGTCCCTGGCACGTTCCGTTTCCTGGCATGGGCAATGTGGCTGCAAACCAGCTCTGCGGACGTGCACTCGCACCCCCTGATGCGGATTCTAGGAGTGGGGCCGCCGGGCGGGCACCTGCACTTCTGACTCCACTGCCTGTGGAGTCTGAGCGCCTCGCCCTAGGTGCAATGGTTCTCGATCTGTGGGTCGCGAGCCCTGTGGGGGTCAAATGACCCCTTTGCAGGGATCACCCAATTCATAACAGTTGCAAAAGTATAGTGATGAAGTAGCAACGAAAATAATTTTGTGTTTGGGGGGATCACCACCACAGGAGGAACTGTATGAAAGGGTCGCGGCGTTAGGAAGGTGGAGAACCGCTGCTCTAAGGGTTGGCAGACCCTGCACTGGCCACACACTGCCTCCCTGCTGGTCGCCTGTGAGGACCTTCCTGCCATCCTGCTACAGCTGCTAGACTGAGGGTGGGGATGGGGGGCTCTCACCACAGTACAAAACCGGCCCCCCACCCGCCACCAATTAACAGCGAGTGTGAGATGACCCTGACCACCTCCAGCAGCCTCTGCGCTCTCACCGCGGCCAACTGGGGCCCGCAGGCTGAGGGGGGCCCTGGCACTCACCTTCACAGGACACGCCGTCGGCCATGATGGCGTAGCCAGGGAAGCAGGAACACATTGCTGTGTCCCCGATGAAGTTACACACCTGCTTGCAGGGCCCGTTGTCTAGGAGGAAGCAGCACAGCAATCAGAGCCTTGTGTCCCCCACCCCACCCCACCTGCAGGCTACAGGCACCGCCCTACTGGTCCACAGCAGGGACGGACTCCCCCTGACAGCACGCTGCGGAGCCCAGGTCTCCTTTGGTGACTGTGCCTGACTCGCACCTTGTGACAGCCTAACTTCCCCTAATAGCCATGAGGGTCCCATGCAGAGAGAAGCCAGAGGAGGGAGAGAAAGGACGCACCAGGACCGGGGAGCAGAGCCACAGAGAAGAACTCCCTCTGCCTCACTGATGGCATCTCCCTGAGCTCCGCACACACACTGCCACAGCCGGCTGTCCCAACCGCCCAGTGCTGAGAGGGGAAGCAGCCAGGCAGCTTGCTCGGGTGCCGAGTCCAGCAAGGGAAAGCACAGACCCACGGGCACAAGGCCCCCTGCCACACAGGGCCCTCGGCTGACTAACCCCCGGCCGGGGGCAGGAGCATGCTACTTCGTCAGGAAACCGTGCCGCATGCTTCCACCTGTCAGCAGCCCAGCTGCCTTCTGTCCCAGGGCCCCAAACACCGGCCCCTCACTTACCTTTGCAGGTGTTGGGTTGAGGCAGGGGTAGTGGGATTGTGTTGGGGACCACTGGGGATGATGGTGCCCTTGGTGCAGACTGTACCGCAGACTCCACTTTGGGGGGGTTGTGTTCTGTGGTGAGCAGAGCAGACGGAAGAGAGGCTCAGAATCAGAATGCTCAGGCCCTAATATGTGGAGCCCTGCTCACAGCCCTGGGCGCTGGACAGACCTCACTATCCTCCCCTTTCACAGAGGAAGAGACTGGGCTCAGCGAGGGGAGAGCATCCATCATTGCACAAGGAAGTAGCTGAGGAACAAGAGAGAGGAGGGGAGGGGGCTCCAGACAGGTGGCAGGGAAGAAATCTTTCAGGATCAGGGGCTAGGGCAGCTCCCTGGGTTCCCGTTGGGCACCCGGGATCCCATGAACCTGGTGCTGGACACATGCCTATGTCTGCCTCTGGGAACAAACCCCAAGGCTCTGGGGCCTGTCTGCAGGACCTCCCCAAGCCTCACAGCTGGGGCTACCAGCCCTTATGGGGGCACCATGTGGGGGGATGGGGCAAAAGACCCCACCATCCTTCCTGTCTTGCCCTGAGGTTCCCGGGAATACTGTGGCCCACTGACAAGAGCAGCCTTCAGCCCTGCCCACACCCAAGCTACAGACCAGGTGGGCAGGCCCTTACCTGGACGGCAGGTGCGGCCATCGTCCTGCAGCAAGAAGCCAGGGAAGCAGGCGCAGCGGTAAGAGCCCACCGTGTTGATGCACAGGTGCTGGCACAGCTCCCCCGGCAGGAGCAGACACTCGTCCTGGTCGTCGCCAGGCAGGCTGTTGGCCAGCTCAGCCTCCGTGCCCAGGGATAGGGCCTCTCGGCTGCCAACCTCTGCCTCTGAAACTGGGCACAGTCAGTGCTTAGGGTGTAGCAACCGGTCAGCCTGACCAGGTGGCCGAGTCCACGGGCCACCCAGAAACTCAGTCCAGGTTCTCGGTAGAACCCTCTGTGCCAGGAGTGACAGCGTGAGAGTTAGCAGAAGGGATGGGCGGGCAGACGGATGGGCGGGTAGATACATGAACTCTTTTTTTTTTTTTTTTTGCTTTATTCTAGTTTTTTTTTTCTTAAACATTTTATTAGGGGCTCATACATGTTATCACAATCCATACACACATCAATTGTGTAAAGCGCATTTGTACATCATTCTCAAAACATTTTCTCTCCACTTAAACCCCCGACATTAGGTCCTCATTTTTCCCCTCCCTCCCCGCTCCCCCCTCCCTCATGAGCCCTTGATAGTTTATAAATGGGTATTTTGTCATATCTTGCCCTGTCCGACGTCTCCCTTCACCCACTTTTCGGTTGTCCGTCCCCCAGGGAGGAGGTCACATATAGTTCCTTGTAATCGGTTCCCTCTTTCCTACCCATTCTCCCTCTACCCTCCCTGTTTCGCCACTCACACCACTGGTCCTGTAGGGCTCATCCGCCCTGGATTCCCTGTATTTTCAGTTCCTATCTGTACCAGTGTACCTCCTCTGGTCTAGCCATACTTGCAAGATCGAATTCGAGTCATGGTAGTGGGAGCGGGGAGGAAACATTTAGGAACTAGAGGAAAGTTGTATTTCTCATCATTGTTACATCGACATGAACTCTTTATGAGCAAGCAAACGCGGGAGCAGACAAGCAAACCTTCAGCAGGAAGAGCACACCCAGCAGAGCCAGGGTCCAAACTTCATCATCTTGAACCTCCTGCAGTGTCCTGGGGCAAGACCCACAACACTCCCCGAGAAATACCTGAATAGCACCGGAAGGAGGAAGGGCCCCCACATCTGGATTCGAATGGGGTGGGACATGAACCGGGCTCAGGACGCCCCTCACCGGCACCTGGGAAGCAGGCACCTAGGGGATCACTGGGACTCTAGGCTCCCAGACACTGCCTACAGCTGCTCAGGGATGGGTCCCTGGCAAAGGCTGAGAGGTGATGGCCACAGGTGTGGTAGCCCGCAAACGGTTGTAAGGATGGTGAAGAAGTGACCAACTCGTTATTCATTCATTCAATCATTTGTTAGTGCCTCTTGTGAGCCAAGCACCATGCCTGGTGCTGAGGGTGCACAGGTACAAGACAAGTTCTCTGGCCTGAAGGGGCCTGATAAGAAAAGTGGGGGGCATTCAAGAGGACTTCAAAAAGTTCACAGAAGGATTGAGTGAATGATAATGGAGTTTTCCAGGGGCTTCATACGAGTGCATTCTCCATGTCTGGTTACGCATTGTGCACTGAAGACACAGGAAACACACAGGCAAGTGGATGAGTGGAAGCAAAAGAAATGGAAGAAAGGGTGAACATACGAGTGGATGGATGAACAGATGGATGGACGGATGGGTAGTTAGGTAGCTGGAGAGGTAAGACTAGAGGATGAGGGGATGAATAAAAAAGTAGATGGATGAATGAAAAGACAGGTGAATTAATGTGTGAAGGATCAGGTAAGGGAGGGATGAGTCAGAGGGTGGTTTAGCAAGCAGGTAGATTGATGGGAAGGTAGATGAATGGGCCTGTAGGCCTATGGATAACTAGGAGGGAAGGAGGGTGGGTGAGTGGAAGGATGAGTATATGGATGGATGACGGAGTGAATGAAGTAATGGACGGTTGGCAGATGGGAGACTGATGGTGGTGGGTGAGATGAGAAGGTGTGAGGAGGCGAGAATGAATGAGAATGTAGATGAACGGGCAGATGTGTGAGCTAAGGGGTGGCAAGTGGGGGCAGATGCAATGGATGGATAGGTAAAAACATAGATTAGAGAGCTCATGGACCAATGGGAAAGATGTATGGGTCTGTAGGCAGATGCAAATGAGAGTGGATGGACGGATGGTCAGATGGAAGGGTAGAGGGAGGGTAAACGAACATATGGATGGATAACTAAGTGAATGGGTAGAGGAGGGGACAGGTTTGAATGGGAGGAAACATGGTTAGATGGAAAAATACATAGAGAGGCAGGGAGATGCACGGGTGTGCAGGTGGACAAGGATGGGGAGGGCGGATGCGTGGATAGTGGAACAGAGAAGGGTGGTAGGCCCATTAGTGGCCAGATGGGCGGGTCAATAAATAGAACACTGAAAAAGATGGCCATCTCAGAAATACTGGAGTCGAGTCGAGGCCAATATAGACCCCTGCCTATAACAGAACATGTCTCTCAAGTGACGGATGCTAGTGGAGCCAGGTTCCCACAGAAGGCCAAGGGCAACCAGCCTGAGCTGAAAGCCCTTCTCACCCAACGGATCAACCTCCCTGGCCCTGGGGGCGGGGGGCAGCACCCACCTCTCCGCGGGATGGCCGCGGGCTCCGGAGGCCTGTGGACCTCTGGCACGATGAGGGAGTCTTCGCCCTCGCAGCAGGAGAGCATCACGTGGTTGCAGGGGTAGCCCAGGTTGGGGTTGGACTCACACGAGTGGCCCTCAGCCTGTACTCGAAGTCCCATGGCACAGCAGTCACAGCATTGCTACGGGGAAAGGTTCAGCCATCACGGGCCGGTCACCACACCCGTTCTCTGGTCACACTGGATTTGCAGCGTCCTGCCTGACCGTGGGACTGTGTGATCACTCGGGGTCTCTGGGTGCAGCCTCGGGCCAGACAGGCTGGGGACCGGCTGGTGAGGGAGATGGAACTGATCTGGATCCTATCTCTCCTGTGCTCTGGGCACACAGGTGAACGAATGTGTAAAGGAGCAGGTAAGGGGTGGGTGACCTGGTTGGACCACTCAAAGGGTTTGGCAAGTGGATGAATTCAGGGGAAGGAAGATGCATGGGCCAAAGAACCGAGGCGGCAGGGGCGGGAGTGTTTGTTGCCTCCCTGTCTCAGCTCCCAAACAGGCCTAGCAGAGTAGGGCCAACACAAGTTTTTTCAAAATCATGGAGGACCCTCTCGTGGAAAGCCTACAAATTGCTCCTTGTCTACATCCATTAGCATCCTCCGCTCTAACAACAGAATCCCAATACTATCAGGCCAGCTAAGAGACAGCACTGGCCAGTGCTCCCTGCGGGGAGACACAGAAGTCAATGAAGGGGTGGGGCTTTCAGGACAGCTTTTCTCTGTGGCTATAATTAATTGGACAGTCCTCTCTGTGGAACACATATGTGATGGCTGGAACTGAATCAGCCATCGTGGGCCGAGACGTGACCTTGCGACAGATGTTAGAAACGAAAGGATGACTTAGAAGAAAGCTGAAAGCACCCCTGATCCCTGAAAATACCATTTAGATCGAGCCCATCCCCAAGCTGCCCATTCCCCTAATAAGTCCTTTCGTGTGTTTACATGACTGCGATAGACTGACTGCTACAAGCACCAATCACTCACTACCGTGCCCACCATCTTTGCAATGACACGGCGGCTCCTCTTTCCAGAGGCAGTCTCTGCGTTGTGCTTCATGACTTGCTTTGGCTAAGAAGAGGCAATGTGCCGGTTCTGAGTCTGGGTCTCAAAAGGCCTCTGTGAGCTCTCCTGGGAGCCTGTCCAGCCTCAACGTCAGAAGCCCAGACTAGTGTGCGGGACGTTGAGCTACCCCGTGGAGCAGAGATGAGTCAGAGACCATATTGTGGACGGTGTAGCTCCACCAGAGCCATCAGCTGACAGGAACACATGTGCAAGCTCAGCCAAGATGAGCCAGCCAGCATGGCCCTGGTCAGCAGAAGTGCCCAGCTGACTCAACACTCAGGAGCTAAGGCGACCCAGAAGCTACTAGGTTTGGAGATGGTTTGTCCCACAATAGCTAATCGATGCTCGGTGGAGAATCTGAGGCTCTGGAGAGGGAAATGGTGCAGGAACAAGCATACACGGGTAAGTCAGAAAGCACTGCTACAAAATCACAGAAGCCTTTATGGAAGCAAAAATATTAAACCGTGAAGCTGTCGCTGCCCAATCTATCCCCGATCTGCGTGGATCCACTTCCGAGACTGTTTGCAGAGGGCGTGTTGGCCACTCAGTGGATTCTGGGCTCTCCGATACACACCTCGTCACAGCAGCAGTTTTAGCATCGCCGAGGGACTCACACGGAGTCCCTTTTAAATAGTCTCTGGGTTTTAGAACAAAATGAAGCCTGAAGGGCAAGGGCAGGCCTGTCGGGTGACAGGGCAAGGTTTGCCAACAAAATTCTTAGAGAACAGCCCCTCACAGAACAGTCCCTCAAAGAATGAATAGGTACATTGTCATCAATCTTATTTTTTTAATGCTCAGTGCAACTTTCTTGGCCTTTTTTCTTACCCATGCAGGTTTTTTTTTAACTTTTAAAAACAATTTCTCTATTAATCAGCCTCTGTGATCATTCTGAGTCTTCTGAGAAAATCTATCACAATTAACCCTTGGGACTTCAGAGCTGTCATCTCTGCCTTAAATTGGCCCGGCAGATCCCCTGGGAAGGCACTGTCTTGATTGGACCTTTCTTTCAAGCCATCCCAAATGCACCTAAGACAAGAAGCGAATTACTGAGAGAACCCGTCTGCAGCCACCCATCGACCTCGGAGACACGGTTACACGTGCTTTGTTTGAAATAAACCTGTGCGTGTGTGAACCGGAACACTACTTTCTGACTTACCTTTCTAAACTTGCTTGTCACAAAGTCCAGAAGCCAAACTCACCACCGTCGAGTCTCTAACCGTTCACGGAATAGAAAGACCAGGCTTTCTCCAGAGGAACTACTGGTGGTTTTGAACTGCTGACCATGTGGATCGGCAGCCCAACACATAACCACTACACCACCTCTGAATCACTGTTCTCACTGTCTGCAAAGCACTTCCCACGGTCATCGCAGGACCTGACGTTCTTCCTGCAGGGCTCTCCCCTTTCTCAGTGAGACTGTCCCCACCGAGTGTTCTCACACACTCTAAACTGCACCCTGATACTGCTTATCTTATCGATTCTCACTCCTCTACACTCCAAACCCTCCTACACAGTATATATACACACATACACGCTTCCTACGTGCTCATCCTGATCTTTGTCTCCTTGGCTAGAGAGAAAGCTCCCAAGGGGAGAGTTTTCACATCTTATTCCTTGTTTATCCCTAAAACCTCACAGTCTGGCACAGCTGGTCCTTACTCAACAAGTGTTCTCCAAGGTAACTGAGCGATGACAAATGATGTGTGATGCTTTCGATGCAGAAACTGACCGCAGGGGTGAAGGCCACCTCAACCCCTCAACCCTCAAGGACCGTCAGGCCCAGCCCAGCCTTGCTCCCCCACTGCAGGCTGAGAACTCCCGGGTCCGGCTTGCCTGATACAGGGAGACGCCACAGGTATCGCTGTCCTCGGCCGCACAGGCCTCACCCTCCTTGGCCCCCAGGACACCAGCCATGCAGGTCTTCTCCTTCAAGTAGGAGGAACAGCAGTGCTTCTGAGCTGTCCTGCAACAGAGAGTGCTCTCAGCCCCAACCAAAGGCCCCCCGAGCCCAGTGAGCCGCTCCAGGAGGGGACACAGACTCTGCTTCCAAGGCTCCGAGGAGAAAAGTGCCCCCCAGGTCACACAGCGGGCAGGCCCTGGTGTTGGTGGCTGGGCATCAGCAGAAGCTGAAAAGCCTGCCACAGCAGGTGGGTTTCCCGTCTTGAGTGTGACCTGATGCATGAGGAAAGGGGGTTGGCACACAGAGATCCCCGCAGGGCCAAGAAGGACGTGGAGGTGGGGTCCTTGGGGGAGACTGGGGGTGGGAGCCCTAGGGAAGCACGTCTCCAGGTCCCCAGATGCTGCCTTTTATCTGTATCCTGGGGCCAAGGTGCCTCAGAAGTCAGAACCGGGATCAAAGGCAGGGGAGGGTCCTAGGAAGGAGGTTTCTGCACCCCCGAGGGAGGGCTATCCAGCGATAGAGCCAGCATTCAAGAAGTGATGAGTCTATCATCATGCGAGGGATGCAGACAAGCCATGGGCTGCTCAAGTTCTCAACCGTGGGCCTCTGAATGTGAGCGCATTTGGAAACAGGGCCTCCGGCTGATGTCATCAGTTCACACGAGGTCATACTGGTAGGCTGGGCCCTAGCCCAATACGACTGGTGTCCTTACAAAGAAGGAGACTGTGGTAGTTATACGATTTCGTGTCAACTCGATAAAAGAACGAAGGGGGGGAGCCTAGCCTGTCCATCAGGGCACGGCCTGATGACGCTTCCTTGTAGGAGTGGCCATCTCATGAGAATTCTGGGAACTTCCTCTCTTCCTCCCTGGAGGCGGGACACCCTCTCTCTCTGTTTCATCCTCCTGTTGACAAGCCATGAGCAGCCACACTCAGAGAGCTGGAGGGGCATCGCGCCAGCACTGAGATGCTTCCACCGCCACTGGATCCACAAGACTTTCCACCCACTGGCCTGTGATCTTCCTGCATTTGGCATCACTGTGTGTGCTGCGTGAGTCTGAAGAGGAATTCATGGACTGGTATCAGACATATGGGCCAATATTGGCCTTATGGACTTGAGCTGGACTGGGCTGGGATGTTTTCTTAATATACGATTACTCTTTCCTATACATATCTGAGTGTCTCTTCTAAACCCGGATTAACACAGGTACACAGAGATCAACAGAGAGATGGCGAGAATGGCATGTGACAAAGGAAACCAAGCTGGGGGGACGCAGCCGCAAGTCAGGGAGCAGCAAGGCAGCCAGAGGCTGGAAGAGAGGAGGCGGGTCTGCTTCCAGAGCTTCGGAGAGGATATGCCCCGCTGCCACCTGGAATTTGAACACCTGGCCTCTGAAATTCTAGGAGAATACATGTCTGTCGTTTTAAGCCCGTGGCTGGCATTGCTTTGCTTAGCTGGACACTCCAGGGGGCTGCCTGGCACGTGCTTTCACTCCCAGAGAGCCTCAAATTAGGGGGACAGCAGAGTGGGACGAAAGGGACACATTAGAACTGATTTTTTTCCCCCTACAGAAGTCAATGTGAGCTGGAAGTTCAGAAACACGGGGTCTAATCCTGGCTATGGTGTCCAGTGAGGAACTGCGTGGCTTTGGGTGAATCACACTGCCTCTCTGAATCCCGTCTTCCTCGACAGGTTAAATAAGGAGGCTGGCTCAATGAAAAGAGGGTCAATGGCTTACAAGCTCTCCTCTGCACTCTAGGGGAGGGACGCTATGGGCATAGATGAGGACTTGGCTGAAAACCCCTAAATCAGAGGGACAATCCGCTGGGTAGTGAAAGGCCTTCCCTGGGGAAGTCCCCAGGAGCAATGTGAGGAAAAGAGCTCAGAGCTGAAGGCAGGCGTCAGTGTGGGTCACACACTCCATGGCAGTGACTGCGGTGTGCATAGAGAATCGGTGAGGCGCCCTAGGAGGAACAGTCCTGTAAGCATTGTACTGTGCAGCTCCTTAAGGGTGCTCGGTAGGCTGGCTACTAACTCAGGCGGTTCACGTGTTCTTGAGACCAGTCTTGGGCGAAGCAGATGGCTCACTGCAAACACAACCAGGGGCCCTTCTGCACAGCAGGTGTTAGACGGAGGGAGGCCAGCAGGGACCTGGAGGGTCCCACCTACCTGCAGACGTCACCCTCCATACCAGTCTCTGGGATGTCCAGGCATTCATCATTATCGACGGCCCACTGCTGCCCAGCTGCGCAGCAAGTCTCAATCAGGTCCTTGGTGGAGACTGGGGGTGGCAACAGAGGGCAGAGTCAGTCCCAGGTACAGCATGGGCCCCAGGGCCTACAGGCACAGAGCACAGGAGATGCTACTGGGGCTCATCCACACCCCCTTTAGGGAACCCACCCCACCTCCTCCCAGCCCTACCATGCACCTTGGCTGCTAACAGCAGGTCACTATAGCCCTCCTGAGAAAAGAGCCTGGCTCAGGGCTCCCGTGGGGCAGGGGTAGGGAATGCCATCAGCAGCTGACTCACATGCAGGTGCAGGAGCCCACAGGGGCCAGCTTGGTGGTGCCATCATGCCCAGAGCTCCCAAGGGCTAAGTCTGCAGCTGGCTCCTTCCTTCTTGTCCCACCCTGGCAGGGCCCCCACCCCAAGAAAACCACACACAGAGGAATCCGGGACTGCGACCCGAGACAGGATCAGAGATAAAAAGGCACGACCCTAACAAGGAAGGACGTTTAGAATCCACTGGGAAAGCTCATGGGAATGAGTCTGTAATGGGACAGGTGTAGGTATCCAGGGTGGGGGTAGACCTTCTTAAACCCAAAGGCATAGACCTTAAGTTAAAAAAATGACTGATTAGTCAGATCAGCTGCCTACATCCACGTTGACCATCTCTGTACAGCAAAGACACCTGCAGGCAGGCCTGCTGCTGACTGGTTAGGAGCCCCTCGGGGGTGCCTGGACCCTGCTCTTTGGAAAACATCATATGCTCCTGAACACAAGCACGGAAGGGTTCAAGCCCACGGCAAGGAAAAGATGACGGCTTGGTGGATAGATCCTGGACCCATCCGAAACCCGCCATGAAGGCAAAGCAAATGAACACGGCGAGAGCATGTCACCCCGCACCAGCCCCGTGGACAGCAACCCGGCACTTCCTCGAGGATCGGGAAGACAAGTACCATAAGACCTAGCGGCCGTACTGCTCGGTGTATCCTTGCAGGAATAAAGGACAGAGCATGAGCAGAAACACGCACACACACGTCTGTCACAGCATCACGCCGAGGCCCTGGGGGAAACGCCGTCAATGCCCGCAGGTGGAAGAATGGCACAGGCACACAACGGGACACGGCGCGTCCTTAAAGACTGCCGACGGAACCGCAAAGCACCTCAGGACATGGATGGACGTTGAGGACGCCGTGCTCAGTGGAAGTTAGTCAAAAACAAAAAGAGAGAGATTGTATGAAACTGTTGTTATGGGTGGAGGGGGGGGCGGGGATCCAGAAAGTTTTCATACCAAGAGCAGCACACTCTCGTGGCTCTCAGGAGTGAAGAGGAAGGGTTGTTAGGGGGAGCCTCGGCCAGAGGTGGGTAGGTGTTACCTTGGGTGAAGAGGAAGATAATACACTACAAGGGGGGGTAATGCGTGGGGGCGGGGGAGGGAAACAGAGGAGCCACTGGGCGGATTGAGAAGTTGTTGAAAGGGGTGAATGCAAAAAAAACGATGATGGGAGCCGTCTCTTTACTCAGGGAACTGGAACCATTCACAAGAGGAATAAATGCTGAGCCCAGCCGGGGCGCCCGGCCTGGGAGTGACAGCAGCCTGGACCAGGCAGCTGGAGGAGGAGCTGGCCCCATGGACACGCACAAGCACATGGGTGGTCAAGGTCCTGGCCCACAGCTCCCTCCTGAATGTGGAGTCCATGAGCAGTCCCAGCAGGCCGTGTGGCAAAAGGACCAGGATGCCTGTTTCAGGGTCACTGGTGGAGGCGGGGTGGGGGTTCGGTCTGGGGATGTCCTCTACACGGGGCTCTGCAGCTGTTGGAAACATCAGACCCGCTGTGTCCCCACGTGTATCCAAAGATCAACACTCACTCTCAGACCCTAACACAACATGCCTGGCCCAGGTCTCTGAGACCCCACCATAGCCAGGCAGAGCCCAATCTCCATCTGCCTGGATGCCACACAGCCAACACAGGAGCCACTCCGGGCTCTTTAGGCTCTGGCACACGAGTCTCACCTGGCTGGAATACTGGTGATGGTGATTCCTCCCACCCATTCTCTGCATAGCTCAGACGCCATTGCTTTCTTATACTGGACTGGACTATGGTCCTCAGCCTCTCCAAGACTACCTCATAGAGACTTGGGGTTTGGGGGCAGATACCTTGGCCTTAGGCAGAAAGAAGAAGGGTGCCAGCCAGGACATTAGCAACAGCTGAAAGGCCTGGGCGAGGGAACTCTAATCCTTGCCGGCATAAAATAAAGGTGAAGACCGTTACCATTCCTATTTTACAGATGAATTGGGGGGTTAGAAATCCAAGCCTCAGTTTCTCCTCTTCCCTTCCTCTCCCTGAGCCTCACTGTCCCCATGTCTGCAGCACAAGCAGCCCGATGTTGCTGACCCCGAAGGCCCTTTCTGCGACTCTAACCATCACAAGCCTGGGGGGCAGCCAGGCAGCCATGTCGGTTGAATGACATATTCTCTTCCCAACCTCCTTGATCATGTGCCAGGTTTATGTGTATGCTTGGCGGGCTTCCCACCTCTCTCCTGGCCTCGTTCACCCCAGCTTCCCTCCTTTGCAGACAAAGGAATTCATGGGCCATGACCCAATGGGAAGGCCATCCAAGCAAAACAAGAGGTGGGAGATTTACGCAGGGGCCAAGTGTGACATGATCCTGCGCTGCTCAAGGTGCGGAGGCAGGGTCAAGCAAAGCTAATGAGATGTGTGCCCCTGCATCCTCTCAGCCAGGGCTCCTTCCCATGATCCACGCCCGTCCTTCAAACTTAGCTTTGTCCTCCCCTCCTCCTGCTCCTCCTCCCCAGCAAGCCTGCACCGCCCCGCCTCCGTCGCTCTCTGGTTCTTATTAAATTACCGAGTGCCAACCTTCTCTTCTCCACCAACACCTTCCACCTGAGTGACCTCATCCAGGTCTGAGCGCCAAGTAAGGCAGTCCCTGACTTACAGCGAATCTGCGTTGTAACAATCACATTTGTAACCGTTCTGCTGCTTGTACATCTGTTTGTTAGTAATTTTACAATGAAAGCGTCGGCTTAAGCTTTTAATGAACTGAACCACGGGCTTCCGTTGCTTAAAAGCAAACAAACAAACAAACGAATTGCTATCAAGTCGATGCGGGCTCATGGAGACCCTATAGGACAGGGTAGAACGCCCCTGTGTGTTTCCAAGACTCTTAACGCTTCGTGGGAGTTGAAAGCCTCGTCTTTCCCCGAGGAGCAGGCTGGTGGTTTCAAACTTCAGACCTTGCAGGTTGCGGCCCGAAGCATCACCACAACGCCACCAGGGCTCCTTGTTGCTTGAAACAAAGACCTAAATGCTGAACGCTTCGCTAAAGCCGGTGGGTAGATGGGGGGTGGGGGCAGTGAGATGTTATAAGAAGAAACAGTAAAGGACCACACAGACAACTCTAACTCTTTTCCGACTAGACAACACCACACTTACTGCCCAGGGGGAATCCCGACGACCCAGCACCTTCCACAAGTGGCGTTATTACAGTACCACCACTGACCAAATACCAAGGTCATCCAACTTCTCTTGATGGCTAGACTTCAATATTAGGATTTGTGGATTTTTATGTATGTCTTAAACTAGGCCTATGAGTATATACATGTTGGCAACTGCCAAAGAGAGATACAGATCAGATTTAGAAAGACACTACTAATAAAGGGCAATTAATAAGGAGGGTGGTAAAAGGGGGAATCGATGGTGCTAGAACTGACTCACAAAAGATTCATAGGAATCAAAGGCATCAAAAGTCAAAAAACGAGATGTCGCGGCTTCACTTTGCACCTCTGGCTTCTCCATCCACGGTGGCTGGTACTGTGCTAACCTATGCCACCCAGTCTTCCCCACCCTGTCAGCCCTCTGCCTCACCAAACATGCTCTCTTCCAGTCCCCTGCGGACGACATGTCCACAGCGAGTGAGCTGGACCAGGTTCTGTTGGGAGCCCTAAGGTTGTCATGGGCTGATTTGGGGATGTGGCTCCTTGACTAACCTTTCTTCCTACTCTCTGCCTCTGTGCCCTCTGCTCCGACCTTTCCTCCATGGGTGGCCCTGCTGGGATTTGACCCATCGGTATCACAGCTTTCAGCATCACACAAGTCACCTCAGTACCACCCTGAGCTGGTCTGTGGCATCAGAAGATGCCAATACAACAGTGACACAGCACCGCAGACACCCGCCCGAGCCCCCTCTGTGACCGAGATCTCCGTCCTAAGGCAGCCGCCGCACATCATCAATGTGAGTGCCATGCAGTCTCATGCGGGAGTGGGCATACCCGCACGCACTGTGGTGGAGCAGCGCCTGCGATGTGCTGCGAAGCATTTTACAAGCATGGCATGCAGCCGTGCGAATAGAAAGCCATCCTTTGTCTTTTCAAGGGGATGTTTGGACATGCATTTGGGCACTTCCACTTCTGGAGGCGGTCCCAAGAAACTGGCCACCGTGAGTGCCTTGGGAGGAGTCCGACCTTTATTTATTTACGATCTCCTAAAAGGATGGACCGTTCAATAAACATTATGTTTTAAAAAGATCGCAAGAATCTGGGAATGCCAGCCTCCCTTTGATCACCCCAGCAGGAAGTCCTGACCCTTCTTGACAGTCCCCTCCCCACCACATTAAAGCCCTAAAGAATTCCCTCCTTGGAAACTACAGACCAACCCCTGCACCTGTGGGTAGGCAAGGAGCGTGCCGCCTCTGAAGGCCCCTGTTGGAACAGGATGTTTGTGGGGTCCGAGCAAAATAACCAGATAATGCAGCAGCCTGAGCTCCCCCAGCCTTTGTGCTCTTTTGCGGGTGTGTGTGTGTGTGTGTGTGTGTGTGTGTGTGTGTGTGTGTAAGGGGGTGTCACCTGCAGCCCTGGGTTCCTGGATGCTTTTTACAACACCTGCAAGGTGGATAAACAAAAGGGGACCTTGGAGCTTGGCTGGCTCTTGTCTTCCAGCCACAATAGGCCCAACCCGAGGAGGGTCACACACACAGGTAGAAATAGCCGAGAAACAGCAGGGCAGCGAGGCAGAGGCCCTGCGCAGGTCCACTCTTGA